CTCTCTCTCTCTCTCTCTCTCTCTCTCTCTCTCTCTCTCTCTCTCTCCTTCTTTCTTTCTTCTCCTCTCTCTTTCCTTCCCAAACTGCATACAAAACAAGATTTACATTCTTCCCATCCTGAGAAACTAATGTGACTCCATTTTTAAAAATAAATAAATAACAGCAGCTTCTACCTTAAGGCCTGTCCTAAGGAAGGAGACGTGACCCTCGTCCTTGGAAAAACCCACAGAGCACTCCTAAGCACATACCCACCCTGCTGAGTTGTTTGTCTGTAAATAACAGGAGAGGTCTGTGGTGCCAGGTGTCCCTGACTCAGTTAGGCTAGGTGAGGACCCATAGCAACCCCCCTAGCAACCTCCAATCAGCATGAGACAGGGGAAAATACCTGGAATGCCAGATGACCCCCAAGTAGTTTATGGTGGTTGATAACATGTTGGGAAACTATGTAGTTTAGCACGTACACCCCTTGTGGCCTAAACCAATCAGTTCAAACGAACCCCCCCCCTCTTATGTTAACCAATTACCCCTACTCAAATTTTTCCCACCATTGAATGTGCTAATCAATGTTAAGAGTTTGTTGTTTGATTTTCCCCACAGTATGGAATGATTTGCTGTGTGATATTGTGACGCACAGCGTATTCCTCAAAAACCTATAAAATCCCACTGAACAAAGGAACAGGACTCACTCCCTGGGACCGCTGCATCTGGAACGGTTGTGAGTCCAGGCTCACCTTGCAATAAAGACTCTTGTGTGCTTGCATCGGATTCGGCTCCTGGAGGTCTATTGGGGTCCCACGAATCTGGCATAACAATCCTAAGCTGAGTTTTCTGCCCATCCTTTTACTGCCCACCTAAACAAAGAAACTCCAGACCTGAAACTGGGAAAACAGCTCTCTGAAGGAAAAGGTTAACATTAATTACATCTACTGATAATATCTGTAAAACAGTGCAGTATTATCCATTATAAAGCTCTCTGTTCCCCTTAGCATCTGGAATGGCAGCCTGTGTCACATGACTCCTTTGCCAGCAAAGCAATAAAACTTGTTTTTCCTTTTTCTCTAAACTTTTTCTCATTATTGAATCAGGACCAAGCTTTCAGTGTCACTTGGGGACACTATGAATTTCTCTCTTGAAGGAAAAGGTGACCCCTTGCTCATCTTCCTGGTCAGTACAAGTTCAATGAATGTGAATGAGTTAGAATTCAAAACCTTGAACTCAAGTACTACATAGTTTGAGAAGTGGGGGGCCAATTAACTGTTGAAGAAGACTGTTCTTGTCCTAACTTCTTTGGGTCCTAGGATGGAGGATAGGTGAGGGAAGCTAACTAGGGGAAAAGAAAATCATTCTTACCTCTCCTGATACGTTGCACACATTGTGTGTATTTATATATTTTTTACTTAATTATTTGCTTGTGACAAACCTGCTGAACTCATAAGTTGAGATGACTATTTCCTGTTCATAAACTTTGTAAATTATCTATATATTTGAAAGGGGAAGTAGACTACATGAAAGAGAGATTTAATAATTAGCATTTAATCCAAAAATAATTTTTATTGGTTCTTTTTAGTTATACACGACTGTAGAGTCCATTTTGTGGAATAAAAGTACCTCATTTTTGTGGATGTACATGCTGGTGAGATTCCTTGTGGTGTATGCATATATGTACATAGGAAAATTATGTCAGATTCATTCCACTGTCTGTTTTTCTATCCCTACTACCTTCCTTTTATTCCCCTTTGTCTAATTTACTGAACTTCTATTCTTCCCTTCCCCCTTATTGTGAGTTATCTCCCACATATCAGTGAAAACATTCAACCTTTGGGTTTGGGATATTGGCTTATTTCACTTAGATAGTCTCCAGTTCATCCATTTACAGGCAAGTGTCATAAAGTCATTCTTCTTAATGGCTGAGTAATAATTCATCGTGTATATAGACAACATTTTCTTTATCCATTCATCTGTTGAAGGGCAACTATGTTGGCTCGATAGCTTAGTTATTGTGAATTCTGCTGCTATAAACATTGATGTGGCTGTGTCACTGTAGTATCCTGATTTTAAGTCCTTTGAGTACTTACCAAGGAGTGGGATAGCTGGGTCAAATGGTCATTCCATTCCTAGTTTTTTGAGGAATCTTCATACTGCTTTCCAGAGTAATTGCACCAATTTGCAATCCCACCAACCATGTTTGAGTGTACACTTTTCCCCATATCCTCACCAACATTTATTGTTACGCATATTCTTGATAGTTGCCATTTTGACCGGAGTAAGAGGAAATCTCAGTGTTGTTTCAATTCGCACTTCTCTAACTGCTAGAGACACAAAAATAATTCAATACATGGTATAGTATGTGTTTTTTGATTTCTGAATATTTTTATAGAATCACATAAATATTAATAATCTGCTGAGTTCTCAGGATGGTGGTCCAAAGAAATGTAAAACATATTTCATCTCCTTGAAGCTTTTTATCAGGTAATTATAGGAATTTCACCATATTACAACTATGATCATTAGATTCCAGCATAAGACCATACTTGATAAAGTGCTGAAATTTGTAGTAGATGTGTTGTAGCAGCCCAGTTATGGAAGAAGAAGCACCATTAGTGGACATTCATAAGTGTTTGGTGGTGCCTTGTACTATATGAATTTTAGTCCTTTTTGTTTATGCACCAGCAAATCCTGTGGTGTAGCTAATTATCCCATCTTACAGAGGAGAAAACTGAAGAGCATAATGTTGAAGCCACCTGCCAGATGAAGTGGGCAATAAGGAGCATGACCAAGAGTCAAACCCTGATTTCCTTTTACCTACTGTTAGGGTTTGGATCTTAAATGTCCTCAAAAAGTTTGTGTGTTAAACGGTTGGTCCCTAACTGATAGAACTTGTCAACTATATATCATGTTTACTCTATCCATGAATGAGTTGATGGACACTGGTTGGTTCCATTTCTTGGCTACTGTAAATAATGCTACAATAGACATAAGAGAGCAGAGGTCTCTTTAATATTCAGATTTCATTTTCTTTGTATATAAGCCTAGTATGAGATCACTGGCTCATCCAAGAGTTCTATTTTTAGTGGTTTAGAGAACCTCCCTATAAAGTGGAAGTATTTAAAGTATGAGCTGGTGAGGCAGATTTCTGTCTGGCTTAAAGCCCATCCTTCTCAAACGTATTTTTTTTTTGTATTAATACATGTGCATATTTACAGATTTTTTGTGTACATGAGTATGCATACCTTCAATAACTTGAATTTAAGAAAGAATACTTTATAATTATTGTAATTATTATAGAGACATGGGCCACCCTCTCAGGCTGTCTCAGGGTGGGTCTGGGATCTCTGCCTCTGGGAAGTCACTGTGGCAGAGCTGCCTTCT